GCGCGCGGGGCGCGGCGGCGCGATGTGGGGTGCTCCGCGCGAGCTCGCGCAGGGGGCTCGCGCTTTGGCGCTCAGGCGCCAGCGCGACAACCTGCTGCAGCAGCTCGCGGAGGCGGATACCCCCTCCTCCCAGCGATCGCCATCGCTCTCCCCCGAATCCTCCTCCTCCGCTTCCTCCCCTTCCTCCTCCTCCTCCACCTCATCCTTCCCCCTCCTCCCCCTCCTCGCCCCTCCCCCCACCCCCTCCTCCCTTCACTCCACCGCCCCTCTCCCCCTCCCCCCGCCTCTGCAGACTGTCAACGCGGAGCAGACAGAGCGCGCCGTGCAGCTCTCGCTGTGGCTGGAGGAGGCGGGAAACGATGACGACGAGACGACGACGACGGCGGCGGCGACGACGACGACGAATGAGGCGGAGCGCGAGCTAGCGATCGCGATCGGCGAGAGGGACGCGGCGCTGCGGCGGGAGGCGGAGCTGAAGGCGGAGAACGCGCAGCTGAGGAAGGAGGCGCAGGGGGCGCAGCTGCTGCGGAGGGAGGAGCAGGCGCGCCTTCAGGCGGAAAATGCGCAGCTGAGGGCGGAGAAGGCGGAAAAGAAGAAGAAGAAGAAGGAGAAAAAGGAGAAGAAGGAGAAGGGGGCGGCGGCGAAGGCGAAGGCGGCGGCGAAGGCGGCGAAGGCCAAGGCGGCGCGCGCCGCGGCGAAAGCGCCAGCGGCGGCGAAGGCGCCGCCAGCGCCGCCAGCGGCGCCAGCGGCGGCGAAGGCGCAAATGCCGCCGCCGTCGACTCCGCCTCCGCGGTGAGGCCGCGCGCCCGCAAGCGCGGAGCGCGCCGCGCGCCCGCAAGCGCGAAAACAAAAGACCAGCGATCGTAATCGCTATCCCCTCGTCCTCTTCCCCCCACCCCGCCCTCCCCCAAGCGATCACCATCGCTTCTCTTCCTCCTTCCCGTCCTCATCCTCCTCCTTCCAAGCGATCGACATCGCTTCACCTCCCCCAGCGATCGCCATCGCTCCTCCTCCTCCTCCTCCTCCTCCTCCTCCTCCTCCTCCTCCAAGCGATCGCCATCGCTACCTTCCTCATCCCCCTCCTCCTCACCCAAGCGATCGCCATCGCTTCTCCTCCTCCTCCCCATCCAAGCGATCGACATCGCTACCTTCCCCATCCCCCTCCTCCCCACCCAAGCGATCGCCATCGCTACCGCGGCGAGCACCCACCAGGCGGCGCCGCGACGAGCTCCAGGTCGATGGGCAAATCCCAAATCCTGAAAAACCTCTTCAAATCCAGGTAACCTCCCCAAATCCAGAAAACCTCACCAAATCCAAAAAAAGATTCCCCCAAATCAGAAAATCGTTCCTGAAAACTACATCCACCTCCTCCTCCTCATCCCTCCTCCCCCTCCTCCTCCTCCTCCTCGTCCTCATCCTCGCCCTCCTTCTCGTCCTCTTCTGCGTGGGGGCCGCGGGCCGCGACGCCCCTGCGGCGCGGCGGGCGGGCGCGCGGCGGGAGGGGAAGAGAAGCGAAGGAGGGATGGAAGGAAGTTATAAGTTACTTATAAGTAACATATATGTTACTTATAAATATTGCATCTCAGCACGGGTAAGTAACTTAGCGGTAGTTATAAGTATCTTCCACCGTCATTAATAACCAGCGAAATACTTATAACTAACCTAAGTATAGTTATGCGACAAGACAAATACTTAAGGGCACATAGAAATAGTTAGAAATACTTAGGTACTTATCCCTTGCTATAAGTATCTTATACCTCGCTGTACCTATGGTGCAACTAGCATAAGAACCACCATTCTCGAAGCACGGCTTTCGTGACATCGCCCCTCCCAGGCATCCGAGAAGCACCCCGTCGCAGCACCTGGGTCCGCCTCGAGATTCTGGCCGGCAGGGTCCCCGAGCCGTGGTCTGGAGGGCCCCGAGGAGAGGCGGCCAAGCGGCAGCCCAGAGGTGGCCATCCCCGTCCCCGCCGGGAAAGCCCTGCCCCCGCTGCCCGACCTGCGCCCCTGACTGGGGACAGAAGGCCACACCCGTGCCCGCGCTGAGGGGCCCTGGCCGTCTGGGATGGGGATCACCTGGTCCGACGATGCTGGCAGAACACGCCCTGGGGGAGGTCCTGGGCCCGACCTCGGGAGGAGGGCCCAGAGGATCTGCATCGAGGCCCATCTTTGGCGGCACGCAAACCGGGGGCGTCGTGAGGGGGTCGGTCTTGCAACAGAAAAGAAGGGGGCTTTCCAGAGGGCGGGGGCCTTCTTAGAAACCATCCTGGCCTCAAATAGGCCTTCTTGTAGAAGCCTTCCGGCGCTTCTGAGAAGGCCCCGACGGTCTAAGCAGCCCCCTGCCTTCTTGAAGGGCTACTCCCCTCGCGCCCCGACGTGCGCGCGCCGCCAGGGGTACAGAGAAGCCGCGAAAAGGAGGGTTCGAAACTCAACGAACGCGGAGGGTTTGCAGGGTCTGGAGGGCGGCAGGGTTTGAGACGAGCCCAAAAGAGTGGGGACGCCAACGAGCCGGGGCTGGACGATGGAGAGGCAAGCTGGCCAGGGCTAGAAATGTCCCCTGCTTCCCTGTAGGCTGGAGGCGTTAAGAACCGTTGGTCACTGCACTGGGGGTGTGGATAGGCAAGACAAATCGTCATCCAAACGGGAAACCACATTGGATCGGAATGAGCGTCGGATCGGCCCACATAGGCACGGAGTCGAGATCACATCGGATCGACCGCACCAGGATGCATGGCAACGCCATGCGAACATCGAGCAGCACAGGATCGCCAGAATGTCGGAACCGAATCGGGTCGTGCTGGTATCGAATTGGATCGATCGGATCGCAACGGACTCTGGCATGGGCCTGTCGGTGCCGACTGGCGGACCCAACGACGCCTCACGGGCGCCGTGAGGTGCACAGTGGCCCTGCACCTCCAGTGCCTGGCAGCGCTCTTCGTGGGGAGAGGCAGCGCTACCTGGCCAGCCAGGAGGGCGACCGCCGACTCCCTGCGTAGTGCAGGACGACGGTTGAGGTCGCATCATGGCCACAATATTAGATCGGACCTGTCCCCCTACAAGGCGATTCTGGGCGAAAAACTAAAAATACTCAAAACACACTCCCAAACTGCCCAAAAGTTGTCCAAAGATGGTCCTGGACCATTGTTTGACTATCTTTGGATATCCCTCCTGCAGAGGGACAGGCCCGGCTCAAGCGCAATGCGGGAGGACGGCTGCGGTCGCATCGTGGCCACGAGGGCGTGGGTCAGAAGCGTGAGCCCCTCCGCCGAGGAAGCGAGGCCCCGTGGAGATGCCTAGAATGAAGGGGCCCTGGGACACACAAATAGATACACACAAATCAAAAAGATTCCCCATATGTCCTACATTTTTTGAGCTTTTGTCTTCCCCCCCCACTTCCGATATTTTCCCACATTTTCTGGGGAATCGCCGATGAAGTGTGTCCGTGTGTTCCTTTCCCTCCTGATAGAAGAAGAAAGCATGCCGAGGTGGAGGGCCAGGACACGAAGAACATACGGCCATGCCCCTGAAAATCAGGGCTTCTTGTGAGCCCTCGTGCCAGCAAGGCAACAAGCTCCTACGCCGAGAGTGGGGGGAGGACGGCAAGATTTCCTCGACGACGACGTGCACAAGGAGCCGGGTTACCATACTTTCATTATTCGCAGAGAAGCCTCCTGGATGGGGTCGGAGTAGATGGGGTCATAGGATCGCGCCGCATCGCCGATGCATCACCGATACATTGACGATGACTCGACGATGCGTCGGCGTTTTAGTAGGCGTGGAGAAAATCAGGCTCCACATCGAGCCACATCGCCGATGCATCGGCGATGCGGAGCAATCCGGCGACCCCATCTACTCCAGCCTCATCTGGAAGGCCTAGAATATCGCCCGTGACTGGCCGACGCTCCCCACCCTCATTGGTCGCGTCACGATTCGCGCCGGCGCCGTCTGGGAATTAGCAGTTCCTTCACCAGGGCGGCGCTGGCGCAAATGGCTATTATGTGACCAGCCCTTTCCCCCCCCCCACCTGGTCACGTCCATTATCGCCAGTGGATTAGAAAAACGGCCTCAAGAGGGCCCGGGGCCAAATTCGTCAACATCACCCGAGGCACTGCTGCGCGACGGGCCCCCACTGGCAGCTCTCCCGCGCCACCCTCCATGGGTGCAGGCCCGTGTGGTGCGATCGGCGCTGGCTTCCGACACGGCGTGGATCGTGTAACCTCATACGGTCACGGCGTTCCAATGCCACAGCTCGATCGATGTCGGCCGATTCTGGGCCACCGGCGGCGCTCGACCTTGAACGCCCGCGCTGGCAGAATCGAGATACGCGTCGGATCGGCCCGCACTGGCCTGGAATCGAGTCGAGTCGGATCGGCTGCGCCAAGATGCGCAGCAGCGCCACGCGAGCCTTGGGCCGCATCTCTCCATCGGAGTCTCGGAATCGAGTCGGATCGGATCGGGGCGGCCCGGATCGATATCGGATAGGATCGATCGGATCGAATGGACACCGGCTGGGGCTGACGCGGCCTTGACACGACCCGAACCCTGTCTCAGCGTCTTTTTGCCCTGTTCGCCTCGCGCCCCCCGTTCGTTCCCTTTGGTGAGCGTCTTTTTATTCGGCGTTTCGACATTGGGCGGACGAGGGAGGGTGGGAGGTCTCTGGCTCCGGGACCTCTGCTTCATGCGACTGCTTGGCACCGTGCGTCCCATGGGGGAGACTCCAGCTGCTCGAATCGGGCGCCCAAATCTGCCGAGATCCACTCCAGGAGAGGGGGGGGGGGTGCGAGGGAGGGCCCGCGCCAATCGGCAAAACAATAACAACAACGATCACCTACCGACCCGCGTTGCCCCCCCGAAGCAGCCCGCGCCCCAGCGACGCTCCCCGAGAGAGGGCCCTGCCCTCCTCCATCGTCCGCCTCGTCCTCCTCCCGAGGAGGACGAGGAGGAAGAGGAGGAGGAGGAGGAGGAGGAGGAAAAGAAGCAGGAGAAGCCCCCCCCCCCACCCTGGAGGCGCAGGTACAGCGTCTGGCCTTTTCGTCGGCGCGCTCATGGGGTGCACGAACATCACGTGGCTGGCCCTCGTGAGGTTCGTGCCCGAGGCGTGGTCCTGCGCATGATCCCTCGGGGGGCCAGCGGAGGCATCGAACAACATCGTCCCCGGGCTAATTTTTGGACTACTTTTGAGCACCCCTCCTGTAGAGGGACAGGCCCGCCTTGGCCATACGGGGAGCGAAGAGTGACATAAACATGCCAGCTCGGAGATCAGCGCGGCATTCTCGCACCCGCGCTGGACCCCCCCCTGGCGGCGCCTCTGGCGCCGCTCCGCGCGCCAAAGAGAGGTCCAGCGCGGATCCGAGAAATCAGCGCGGACCTCCGAGTTTGTTATGTTTATGTCAGAGGAAAAAGAACTATGCACATACACCGATTCTGGCCAGGCCCATCCTGAGCCCAGGATCGGTGCATACGCCCTCCTACCTTGGCCAGGAAGGCATATGCACCGATCCTGGGTCAAGGATGGGCCTTGCCAGGATCGGTGCATGTGCATAGTTCTCTTCGCCCGATATGTCTTTCTTCGTTCCCCTGGGGGAGGGCCCGGGGGACGACTTTGAGCGGATTCGGGCCTGGCGGAAGAGCCGCCGACGTCTCCACTGGCCCTCCTCCGACGGACAAGGACGAGATGGTAGAAATAGCACGGCAAGATTGGATCTGGGAAGGTTCGGGGAATTACAAAGTTTCCAGCGGCCCTCGGCCATACTTGCAGCACGGGGTACTGTTCAAAGTTCGCGGGGGCCACGAGGTGTGACACGGTCGGGCGCTGGTCAGAGAGAGCGGTGGGCTGCACCAGTAGCTAATTCAGGCACAAAGCGGAAGAGCAAGAGACGAGAGAACAAGACAGAGACGGAGCCCGCTCAGAACAAATACGTCGGCGCGGATGTGCCGGGGGGGAACATCGCGAGAAACGGGACACCAGCGCGAGGTGAATGCCCTGAGAAAGCCGGTGAACACCAGGATGCATGTGGACAAAACAAGACGGCGTCAGAGGTGGCGCAGCACGGGATAACACGAACCACTGGAAACCTTGGAACGCATCAAAAGAAAAAATAAACACACAATATACGTTCGAGTACCCTCGATTCTTTGAAGAGAGAGTTGAGGGGAACGACAGGGAGGGCACACTCAGGTGGGAAAGCATCGACCTCGAAGCGGCGATACGTCATCAGTAGATAAGCGTTTGGCACCGGATAGCGAATCCGAATTCTCCTGAGAGGTGTGACGGCCATCGGGCCCCTATCAGCGATGAATGGGCAATTGACGTTCAATCCTTCCCCGCTTAGCATTTCCTCCCTTGACGGTGCCCATGGAAAGAGCGAGAGAGAGAGAGAGAGAAAGAAAGAAACGGAGATAGTGAAAGCAAGCGAAAACAAACACAATGGATGTACATCTACAGACGCGGCCGGCGCCCGCGCCATGCATGTGAAGTCAACGATGCAAATGTGGCCGGCGTTCCAGCAGGGGCATCATTTCAAGAGTCTAGACGAACGAAGCATTCGCCAGAGCTGCACGTCGCCGCTGTTCCCAAGGCGAGGGTGCGACCAGAGCCCACTGACAGCGGGACCAGCAATAGGTTAACCACTCGGCAGCAGGTTAAGGGTGGGGGGGTGTAACATAAACAGACAGGCAGGCAGACGGAGGGACAACTATGCAACGACGAATTCGGCTTCAAACTATAATTTCGCGATGGCGCCCGTTGCCAAAACCGGCCCCCCCTTCCCCCTGGAAGCGTCACGACTAGCGCCAGTGCTGTCAGGGAATGGCCGGGGGTAGGTGGTTGCCAGGCGGCGCCGGCGAAAATCGCGACGTTGCTGGTCTCTCCCCGCCCCTCGATATCGCCCGTTTTCACGAGGCGCGCGTCTGTTTCGTCGATTTTGCTGTGAATTCCGATGCTTCGTGGATGTAATTTAGGTGCGTCTTTATACGTAGTAAAGAAGCATGATTAGACACGTTCAAACCCGCTTATTATACATGAGAACATTCATTAGGCACGTGCAATCACTTCGCCTCGGAAAATCAGACACGAGAGCATTTTAAACGCGGATAGACACGCTTAAACATGTTTAAACACATGTCGGCGCGTTCGACGTAGACACTGAAAGACACGGAAAGCGTAAGGACGCGTTTAGACACAAATAAGACACGCAACGACCCGTGCAAATACTGCAAGTATATTACACAGACATACGCGCATGAAAATCGGGTAGTGATTTGCCTGCGGGGGACGTAGATGGCACAGCGGTGGCACGTAACAAATTCGGGCATGAAATATTGTTCGGGAGTGCTGGCATCTATAAGGGGATGGGGGTAGGGTAGTTGGGAAGATGCAGTCGGGAAGTAGGGGAGAAGCAGGACGATGGGAAGAAGGAGGAAAATGATAAGGAGGAGGAGGAGGAAGTGAAAGAGAACAAAAAACAGGCTGGTGGGAACGAGAAATGAAGAGGAAGGGAAGGGAAGAGGAGGGCGAGGAGGACAAGGAAAAGCATGGCAAAGACTAAGAGGAGGATGACCAGGAGGAGCTCGAGAAGAGACGAATACCGAAAGGTGATTGTTTTGGAGGCGACGGGGAGGGGGGGGGGGAAAAGGAGGTGGGCGACGACACTGAGGCAGATTTAGAATGAAGAACACCCTGATGGGAATCAGGATGGTAAGAGGCGCGGGTGAAGGAGGGGGGCGATCAGGACATGAAGCACGGCGGAAAGTAGGAGGAGGAGCACGAAGAGGCCAACACATATTGCGGCGAAGACTGAGATGGAGCGGGGGAAATTGAGAAGCGGTGCGAAGTGGAAGGGGCAGGAAGCGCCACGAGGAGTGGGAGCTCGAGATAGATAGATGGCCCTCCCTCCTCCCCTTCCCCCCGCCTCCCAGCCTCTCTCCCTCGATGTCCTCGTCCTCGTTCTCGCCCTCCTCCTCCTTCCTCCCTTCCCCTCGGTGCCCTCGCTGACGTGCCCCCATCTCTTCAAATGTTTGTCCTACTCTCCGTTTTCCCACCCTCCAAGTGCTTACGCCCACCGCGTTCCCATCGTCATCGTCGTCAAAACCACCAACTTTGGGCTTGTTGGGAGGCTTCTTAGTAGCTTTTGGGGGCGCCTGAGGGATCTAGGGGTTCTCTTGGAGCCTTCCTGGGGCTTCTCAGGGGCGCGTCTGAAGCTTCGGAGGAAACCCTCGAACCATATTGGGGCGCGAATGGCTCGACATGTCAGTTTGTGCTCACGTTGTTGGCTTGCGTGGGATCTTGGATCGGCCTCGCGGGTCCAGCGCCGCCTGCGGATGGCCCCCCCGAAAGAGTGACCACCCCTGTGCACGACCGTGGGGACCAAGTTCAGGCGAGCTGGGCGAGGCGACAGCCTGTGGAATCTGGCTGTCTTGCCAATGTGCACTGAGAGCAGAGCGAATGTCAGACGGCAGAGATGGGCAGGAGTGTGCGGACTGCGAAGAAGGGCTCCGCAGTGTCGGCGCGCGGGTGCACGCGCGAACTGCACGCGGACGTCCAGCACGGCATCTGCATCTTCCGGCGACCGAAGATGGAGCGATACACGTCGGTCGGAAGAAGTAGGTGAAAACATGAAGTAGGAAGGCGGCTAACGTGGATTGGGTCCAGGCCCTCCCAGAGAAGAACAAAACACAGCAACAGCAAGCCGATTCTTGAAGTAGGAAGGCGCTTGAAGTAGATCGGGATCTGGGAATCCAAAAGTACCTACTTTCAACGACTGGCGTGTGCATGTGGCTGCGAGGATGCCCCACGCGAAATTACAACGCTCTGGCCGCATGCATCGGGTCCACAAACATGATGCTGAGGATGCCTCAAACGATCGCCAATCTCTGGTGAGTGGAAATGGAGCCGGAACATGTTCTGCGAAGAAGTCCCAGGCGAAATAGCCACTCTCTGGTCGCCAGAAAAATTCTCCGGTTGCTCGGAAAAGCGACCGGAGATTTGGGCGGAATCGCGATTTTCTGGTCTTCGCCCCATTTGGCGATTGTATGATTTTAAAGCGAGGATGGAGGAACCAGAGAATCGCGACCCCGCCCCATACTTCCTCTAAAAGCACTCTCCGGTCGCCTTCCTGAGCGACTGGAGAATCCCTGGCCTGGTCTCTGCAACGTTGTACCGGGGCCCCAGGGCCTACCGGGATCATCGTCGCACATCTTGCGCGACCTCTCCGGTCCGCACTCTTTAACCCAGCGGGTTGCACGGAGCATATTCTGCGTGTTTTCGTAGACTCGACAAACACAGCAAGTTTGGAGCAAATTAATTCTGTCATCGATCCCCTGCTCGCGCACTCCTCCATCCTCGACCCTCCTCGGGGTGCTGCTCCGCCGCGACCGTGTGCAGGCCGGCGCCCCGGCGCGAGGCGGCGGCGTGGCTCTCCATGCTGCGGGTCGCCGCTGCGAGCCGTCTCCGGGCCGCCTCGCGCGCCGCGGCACGGCAGCGCACGGTGTGCGCATACTCCATCTCTGCGTCGTCGCCTGCGGCTGGCGCGGGTGGTCGGGGGATGGGCGTGGGATCGAGCGGCATCGGATCGGCCGCTGCCAGGATGTAGAGCGGCGCCCCTGCAGGCATCGGGTGCATCAGGGCATCGGATCGGCTCGCAGCGGATCGATCGGATCGAAATGGGTCCCGGAGAAGTGGGGAGCGGGGATGAGCAGGAGGGGTTCAACCAGCCTCGGGTGCATCCCCATCCCTGAGATTCACGGGCCCAGGGCGATGACGATCTCTGGCGTGTGCCCTCCGAAGCCCAAAGGGGATCCTCCAGTGCGGCACCAAGATAAGGTGACCGATCACAAAGAAAGTGGTGTGCTTCAATCTGGCAAGGGTCGGGGGCGGCCGAGAAGGGGGGTGTCCAAGAGGGGGGGGGGGGGCGCAAATCATGGCCGGCGGCATGTGCGCGGCCCATGGGGGGGGGCCAGGGACGTAATGAAATACGAAGAGGCGCCATGAGATCTGGGGAGGTACCATGGCCCCCGCCATGATATCCCCCCCCCTCTAGACATCACCCCCCTCTGGGCCGCCCCCGAAAGGGGGGGGAGGACGGAGCCGTCACAAAAGAAAAGACGGCATAAACACAAACTGTTTGCGATCCGCGCAGATTTCTTGGATCTGCGCTGAACCTCGGAGCGCGCCAGGGGGCGGCGCCCGAGGCGCCGCCGAGGGGCCCAGCGCGGATATCCAAGAACTCCGCGCGGAGCGCCAAAAATTCATGTCTTCTCGTATTCGGAAGTGGGAGGACGCCTGGCCAAGGTGCTGCCTGGACAGGATCGGTGTTGTCGTATAGCTGGTGCCATCCGAGGGAGGGGGTCTGTTTTCGGCGTCGCACTTCTGGCTACGTGTGTAGAGTCGGCAGGCGTCCTTCGGTGTGGTCAGACGACGGGCTCTTGTAACCCTCTTCGATCTGAGCACGGGCGCATCGTTGCTAAAACTTGTTTAAACCTGGTATCTGCCAACGTCGCCGCGCCAGACGGGTACTGGAGAACGGACGGCTGGAACAACAACTAGAATCACGGGAACTTGGGTCCGTTGTGCACAGGGGGTCTGTGATGAATGACTCGAGGGAGGGAGAAGGAGGCGGGAAGGGGTAGCTGGGAGCGTGCGAGGGGGGGGGTGGAGAGAGCATCCAGCAACGACGACAAGGAGCTTGGGCCCCATGGTCGTGGAGGAGCAACGCCGAATGGCATGCGAGCGTTGGGTAACTGCGCCTCCGCGAGGCCGCCGCACAGTCCGGGCGTCGCCATTTGGGCACGTGCCAGAGAGCGATCGGTGACCTCCGCACCCTGCGCACGCGGAGCGCGTTCGAGCGATCTAACCTTCTGTCGGGCGTGTCCCCCTATAGGGGGATGTTCGACGAAACATAAAACATACCCCAAAAATGCCCCAAGAAGTTGAAACAATACGCAAAAAATAGTCCCCAGACTATTTCTTGACTATTTTTTTATTATTTTTGATTTTTCCTCGAAGATCCCCCTGTAGGGGGACAGGCCCGACTTACGTCTAACCGAAGCGCTCGTACGTCACGACGAACTTCTGGGAGGACGGGAGCGCCTTCTTGGCGTTCGCACGCGCCTCCGCGTTCAGGACCTCGGCGGTACCCCTCAGACCCTTCACGATGGCGTCGTTGCCGCAGACATAGATGTGGACCTTCTCCTGTAGCAGGACGAGAGGCGGCACCGCAACAAGCTTGTCCGCCATCGGGGATGCCTGTCCCAGCTTCGGCTGGAAAGCTTCTAAACTTTCCAGCCGCCCGCCCCAGGACAGGAGCCCCCCATGGCATACCAAACTATACCATGTACTTCTCCGTTCGCACACTCCTGGCAGCCCCAATGCCTCCCGATCGCCCTCAACTCCGCCTCGAAGTCGGGCCTGCCGAACGCAACCGGCACCAGCGGCTCGGCCGGCGCCGCGCCGCCCCCTGGACTGGCCGCACTGTCGGCCCCGCCGAGCCTCCCCAGGCTGGCTGCGGAGCGCAGGGCCCTCGCCGGCCACACGCAGGGACTGACCCCGGGCAAGAGTTCTGAAAGGGGGCGTCCCCCTACAGAGGGATTATCGACGACCATTTAAGCATACTCTAATAAAAATAGCCCAAAAAGGTCCGAAATTATTTAATCGCTTCGCTCATTCCGCCGGCCCGTATTGTGCCATCGCAGGCGTTTGCTTGCGCGTTCGTGGCCTCTTGGAGCCTCGTTGGGGCCGTTTGGGGCCTCTTGGCGCCTCTTTTGAGGCCTCTTGGAGAACTCGGGAGGCCTCCAGGGGGCCTCCTGATTCATTTTTTTTTTTTTTTTTTTTTTTTTTTTTTTTTTTTTTTTTTTTAAAAAAAAAAAAAAAAAAAAAAAAAAAAAAAAAAAAAAAAAAAAAAAAAAAAAAAAAAAAAAAAAAAAAAAAAATCCCTGGATTATGTTTGGATATTTTTGTTGACTACGTTTGGGGTATTTTTAATTTTTCGTCGAACATCCCCCTGTAGTGGAGAGCCGTCGGGCCCAGGTTGGAGGCACGAAATCCTGCCTGACGGGGCCGTCGGAGAAGCGAGGGGGCCAAGTCTGAAGCGGCGGCAAGCCCGAGGTGGTCCTCAGAACTCCGACGTCGCTTTCTTTCGTTCACCTGGGACCCCGGAGGTCTGTTTCCCTTGCCCTGGACCAGCTTGTTGTCCTAATCCTAAGTAGTTGTCCGACGGCACCGGGGCCCTGCAAGGGCCCCAAAGGGGCCGAAACCTTTCAAAATCCATCCGCCGCGACAGCCTTTGGAGAACCTCAGCAGAAAGACACACTCCCGGAGGTCCGCGCGCAAGCCCCTCCTCCCCCGCGCGCGGGAGGCGCTGCCAGGGGGCCCCAACGCCGATTCGAGAAGTCCGCGCGGAACCCCGGAAACGTTTGTCTACAATGGAGGCCCGACCACACAGAAACCTTCCACGAGAGACCCAACCCAGAGGCCCCAGGACGTCCATGGATGTCTGGGGTGGGACACGCCTTCCACAGCAAAACCATCGAAACTCGGGGCACCCTGGAGGCAAGCAGGGTGCTTCTTGGCATTGGTCTCCACTGTATGTCACTGTTTGTTCCCAGATTCCGCACGACGAAAGGAGCTGGGGTTCGGTCGGGCATGTGCCCCTACAGGCGGATTTGAACAACACATAAGAAATAGAAAAACATGAAAAAGTCAAACAAAATCGCCCCCAGACTATTTTCTTATTATTTTTGAATATCCCTCCTGTGGAGGGACACGCCCGACTTCAAGCTTGGGGCCACTCTTGCGAAGGGCCACCCTTGCGAGCAGCCGGCCTCGAAGCGCACGAGTCCGCGCGGAAGCGGCTACGGCTGCGCAGGAGGCCCTCCGCCCAGTCCTGCGAGGGCGCGGCCCGCATCCGCTGGGCCGGCGCGCTGTTTGCGCTCGAGGGCGTCGCCAACGGCGGCGAGCGCTGCGGCGGCTGGGCGAGCGCGTGGCCTGGAATCTGGGCGCCGGGAGCTAGTAGTGGAGGCCAGTCCCCATGAAACCTTCCACAAGAAGCCCAACCCTGAGACCCCAGGACGTCCATGGATTTTTGGTGGGGACGTCACGCTGTCCATCGCAAAACCATCGAAACCCACGGCACCCTGGAGGCAAACCAGGTGTTTCTTGGCGTGGGTCTCCATCGTACGGAAAGGATGTGTACGATGCCAAGCAGAACATGTTGTCCTATATTAACAGCGGCCGCTGTCGGCCAGGGTTGCCTTCTGTCTCAGATTGACAACGTCCGCTGCAACACCGACAGCGACTTCTGTTCAAAATGATCCAGAACTACTGTCGATCGTCGTATCCACTCTATCCGTACCCATCTCGCTCGTGCCGATGGAAGGACACCTGCAGTCAGGACGCTCAGGGTAAGGAACAGTTCGGATCCGGGGGGGGCGCGCCAGTCCTTCGGTGCTTCCATGGCTGTTTCTCCCAGTGCTCCTCGTGCACCCAGGCGCCTCGTTCATTCTTTTGAGTTCTGTGAGGTAGCAAACATTCGGATGACTGCGCGGGCGGGATGTCTGGGGTCGGCGCCGGATCACTGAAGGGGCCCTGGGACACACAAATAAATACACGCAAATACAAAGATCCCCCATATTTTCTTATATTTTCTGGGCTTTTGTCTTCCCCCCAACTTCCCATATTTTCCCATATTTTCGGGGGAATCGCAGATTAATTGTGTCTGTGTTTTTTTCCCTCCTGAATCACCCTCCCCCTGTCTGGCGGAGTGCGCCAGGGGCGGGGTCCGAGGCGCCGCCAGGGGGCGAATCTGCACGACCCTGCGAACATGCATGCTCATGTGTGTCCCATCCCCTGAGCATAGCAGGGTTATCATCATCAGTTTGATGTCTCCGTCTCGTCACGCCCGCAAGCTCCCTCTTCCTCTTCTCACTCAAGCGAAGACTCATCCTCAGACTCGCTGGGCCTCATACCCACTCACGCTCAGACTCGATCGCACTCAGACTCACTCCTACGAAGACCACCCTGACTCGGATCCACTCACACTTCGAGCAACTCATACTTAGACTCGCTCTCACAGACCACGGAAAATCAGATCTCTCAGACTCAGACGCAAATATCCTAAGACTCACTCGTAGTCGAACCAACTCGCAGATACTCCGACTCAGTCATACTCAGACCGCCCACACTCACACCAACTCATACTCAGCTTTGTCATGCCCATACTCATACACACAAGCCGCTCACACTCGGATCGTACACGCCCAGGCTGACTCATTCTCAGACTCACTCACACTCAGACTCACACACACCCTCTCAGTCTTTCGTACTGAGGCTCACTCATAGCAAGACCCACTCGTACTCGGAAAACTTGTCTCCCCATGGCCACCGCGATGTAGCAGGCATCGCAGATGAGCGCCCCATGGGAGACGCCATGGAGTACGACACCTGCTCGCTCACGCCCACATTGTGGACATGCTCGAGCGAGGCGCTCGCCATGCACCCGTGACCACAGCGATGCAGCAGGCCTAGCACTCGAGAGGCACGAGGAGCTGCCAAGGGGATTGGCACTCGCCTGCTCGCGTTCAGATGCGGGGTGTGTCTTGAGCGGGGCGCTCGCTGTGCACCTCCGAGTCCCCTGCCTTCAAGCACCACGATCGCAGCGATGTAGCAGGCATGGCCCTTGGGTACCACAAGGAGGCACCACCGAGGAGGAAAGACACTTGCCCGTTCGTGCCCAGAGTGTGGGCATGTCTCGAGCGAGGCGCTTGTTGTGAACCCACGACGCCTCGATGGACGCCCCCCAGGGGGGAGCCGCCAGAGGGGAAGAATACGGCGGCGGAGAGATGGCAGCATACAACAGTGGAGGGAAGCGGAGAGGAGCGCTCACACCCGGACTTGCACATGCTCATTCTGACTCGCGGATGAGTGTGCCCATGCACAGGTATTCAGACGAGGGCATGCCAGAAAGGAATCGGCCCCAAATACAATGGAGGCGCGACCACATGAAACCTTCCACAAGAAGCCTAACCCCGAGACCCGGGGACACTCATGGACTTCTGGTGTGGGGACGCCACGCTCTCCATCGCAAAAACATCGAAACCCAAGACAGCCAGGGCACTCTGGCGGCAAACAGGGTGGTTCTTGGTCGGCAGCGGTCCCAGCTGTAACTCTCACAGCCTGGATCAGCCAGAGGGCATCGACGGACCCCGTCAAAACTGACACCCGGCACGAGCGCCGCGTCTGGCTTTCAATCCACACTTCGTCCGTCACCCCGCCGGGTGGGACAATAATGCGGGCATCCCCGGCCACGCCGTCGAGGACGCGCAGCCGATGGAGAGACCACCCTGGGCCCCGACGGCCTCCGAAGAGCTTCCGAAAATCACCCCAAACGTTCGAACCCCGATGTTCGTCCTCCTCCTCCTCTTGGGCGCCCGAATTATCCGGGGTCACTCGGGCCCGGGGTAACTTGGGTTCGGAGTCCCGAATAACGAACCCGAGCTAGCCGTGACCCGGAGTTACCCCAGATGACTTGGGGCTCTGGACGCCCGAATTCTGCAGGGTAGCTCGGGCCCGGGGTAACTCGGCCTTGGGTTCCCGAGAAACAAACCGGAGTTAGCCCTGACCCGGGTTACCACAGATGATTCGGGGCTATGATCCACCTCCTACTCCTCCTCCTCCTCCTCCTCCTCCTCCTCCTCCTCCTCTTCCGACCCAGGGGTCAGCCTAAATTTTCGAGCAGAAACGCAGGACCCCCAAGGGCCTTGTCCTCCTCCTCCTCCTCCTCATCCTCCTCCTCCTCCTCCTCCTCCTCCTCCTCCTCCGCCTCCCTCCTCCTCCTCCTCCTCCGCTTCCCTCCTCCTGACCGAAGACCCCAAGGCAGTCAAACCGAAAAACCCTTAAGCCCAAGGACCCTCAGGCCCCATGGCCCTCAGGCCTGAAAGACTTAAAACCTTCAACCTGCGGCCCTGAGGCCTCGAAGACACGAGGACTATAAGACTCTGTTGCCATGAGACCTGGAGGCCCTAAGGCTATCATATTATAAGGCCCTCGGCCCCTGAGACACTACGGCCATAGTACCCCGAGACGAGCCCCTAAGGCCCTTAGACCTTTAGGCCCTAGGACACGCTGACTCTGGGGCCATGGTGTGATCCCGCCCGCCCTAAAGGAATCCCTTTGGAATCCGCCACAAAAGGAACTCCTTTAAGGCGGACGTACAAGTTGACCGACAGCTCAAGGGGTACCAGGGGGAATAAATGCGGGAAAAAGAGCAAGGGAAAAAGAAACACATACTAAAAAAACGTATGGGACTCGAACTTGTTTGAAGAATTGTTAGATTGGTACCTCCGCCACACAAGGGATCCTTTTGTAACCCGCCACAAAAAGAATCCTTCTGGAATCCGCCACAAAATGGATCCTTATGCATTCCGCTACAATAGGAATCCGTGTGTAATCCGCCACAAGACGAATAGAGGGATTCTTTTGTAATCCGCAACAAAAAGGAATCCTTGTGTAATCCGCCACAAAAGGACTCCTTTTGGAATCCGCCACAAAGGGAATCCGTTTGGAATCCGCAACAAAAGAAATCCATGTGCAATCCGCCGCAAAAGGAATCCTTTTGGAATTCGCCACGGAATACATTTCTTTAAGGCGGACGTACAAGTGGACTGACGGCTCAAGGGGTACCAAGGAAAAAAGAAACAATAAAAATAACAAGAGAAAAAGGGGGAGAAAAAAGAGAGAACAAAAAAAATAGTATGGGACTCTCTCGTTTTTTGATGAATGTTTGGTGTGGTACCCCCGCCACAAAAGAAATCCTTTTTGCAACCCGCCACAATAGGAATCCTTTTGGAATTCGCCACACAAGAAATCCTTGTAACCCGCCACAATAGGAATACATGTGTAATCCGCCACAAAAGGAATCCTGTTGTAATCCGCCACGATAGGAATCCTTTTGGAATCCGCCACAAAAGGAATACTTCTGGAATCCACCAAAAAAGGATCCTTATGCAATCCGCCACAAAAGGAATCCGTTTGTAATCCGCCACAAAAGGAATCAAGGAATTGTTTTGGAATCCGCTACAAAAGGAATCCTTGTGTAATCCGCCACAAAAGGAATCCTTTTGGAACCCGCCACAAAAGAAATCCTTCTGGAATCCGCCACAAAAGAAATCCTTTTGCAATCCCCCACAAAAGGGATCCTTTGGGAATCCCCCATAGAAGGAATCCTTTCGGAATCCGCCACAAAAGAAATCCTTTTGCAATCCCCCACAAAAGGGATCCTGTTGGAATCCACCATAAAAGAAATTCCTGTAAGGCGGAGGTACAAGTTGACCGACGGCTCAGGGGGTACCAGTGAAAAACATATGGAAAAAAGTTTAAAAAAAAGCGCATGGGACTCTCACGTTTTCTGATGAGTTGTTGGTTGGGCACCCCCGCCACAAAAGGAATCCTTCTGCAATTCGCCACAGAAGAAATCCTTTTGGAATCCGCAACAAAAGAAATCTTTTTATAGCCTTCCACAATAGGAATCCCTTCGTAATCCGCCACAGAAGGAATCCTTTTACAATCCGCCACAAAAGGATTACATAAGGATTTTCGCTGTGGAATATTACCACTTGAACCCAATTCGCCACAGGGGCCCAGGACCGGAGGGCCTCCAAACAAGCAAAAACAAAAAAACAAGAACAAAGCAAAACAAACAAAACAAGCTGAGACTCTCTGCGTTTTTCAAACCTACGTCCAGAATGCAATTAAAATAACTTGTATGTTGATTGTACTCAGCTTGATCTGCAAAATCCGATCGTGTACGACCCAAATGTATTTGAATTTAATTGTAGTCTGATCGTAGATGTGAAAATCGCAAAGAGTCCCAGCTTGTTTTGCGTTTTGTGCGTTGTTCTTGCTTTTTTTTGGGCTGGTATCCCCCTGGGCCCTTGGGCTTGGGTTTCAAAAAGATTTCCTTGGTGGAATATTACCACTTGAACCCAATTCGCCACAGGGGCCCAGGACCTGAGGGCCTCCCAAAAAAGCAAACAAAATCAAACAAAAACAAAAACAAAGCAAACAAACACAACAAGCTGAGACTCTCTGCGTTTTTCAAATCTACGTCCAGAGTATAATTAAAATCACTTGCATTTTAATTGTACACAGCTTGATCTGCATAATCCGATCGTGTACAACCCAAATGTAATTGAATTTGAACGTATTCTGATTGTATTTGTGAAAAACTCGCAAAGAGTCCCAGCTTGGTTTGCTTGGTTTGGTTGTTTTTTCTTGCTTTGTTTGCCTTTGTTCCTTTGTTGGCTGGTACCTCCCTAGGCCCTTGGGTTTGGGTTTCAAAAGGATTTCCTTTGTGGAGGATTACGAGAGAATTTCTTTTGTGGCGGACTAGAGAAAGAAAGAGAGAGAAAGAGAGAGATAGAGAGAGAGAGAGAGAGCGAAGAAACTCGACATGATAATGAGAAACACAAATTGTGCGAAGCCTCGAAAACGCTTACACGAGCCTTGTTCCACTGTTCCAAGGGGCGGAGATCCAACCCTTACCCTCCCCCTCCCCCTCCCCTCCCCCTCCCCTCCTCCCCTCCCCCTCCCCTCCCCCTCCCCTCCTCCTCCTCCTCCTCCTCTCTCCTCCTCTCCTCCTCTCCTCCTCCCCCTCCTCCTCTCTCCTCCTCCTCCTCCTCCTCCTCCTCCTCCTCCTCCTCTCCTCCTCTCTCCTCCTCATCCTCCCCCTCCTCCTCCTCCCCCTTTCCTCCTACTCCTCCTCCTCTCCTCCTCCTCCTCCTCCTCCTCCTCCTTCTCCTCCTCCTTCTCCTCCCCCCCCTCCTCCTTCTCCTCCTCCTCCTCCTCCTCCTCCTCCTCCTCCTCCTCCTCGAGTTTCGCTCTGGGGGAGCCGTTTGGCGCCGAGGTCAGCGACGTCTGCTGGGAGTCCGCCCGCGGACTCGCCTCGAGCGGCGGCGGGGCGGAGCGGCCCGGCGACCTGGCGCTGGGCATGGCGTCGGGCGGGCGCTCCTCGCGGAGCGCACGAAGAGGAGGAGCAGGTGGAGGAGGAGGAGGAGGAGGAGGAGGAGGAGGAGGAGGAGGGGGAGGAGGAGGAGAGGAGGAGGAGGAGGGGGAGGAGGAGGAGGAGGAGGAGGAGGAGGAGGAGGTGGAGGAGGAGGGGGAGGAGGAGGAGGAGGAGGAGGAGGTGGAGGTGCAGGTGGAGGAGGGGGGGAGGAGGTGGAGGAGGAGAAGAGGAGGTGGAGGATGAGGAGGTGGAGGTGGAGGAGGAGGAGGTGGAGGAGGAGGAGGAGGAGGTGGAGGAGGCGGAGGAAGAGGAGGAGGAGGAGGAGGAGGAGGAGGAGGAGGTGGAGGAGGTGAAGGTGGAGGTGGAGGACGAGGAGGAGGAGGAGGAGGTGGAGGAGTTGTGCGGATAGCAAGCGGGGACGCGCAAGGATATACCGAACGAATGGGCGAGAGAGGGTCAGCTCTTCTTCTGTGTCTGAAGCCCAGCGCTTGCGCGCCAGGCGCCAGCTTCCAGGCCTGCTCAGCTTCTCCGCTGGGCCGAAGACCTGCTGACTGTGAACGCCACGATGGAGAACCGACAGGAGCGAGCATTTAGTGAACACCCTGGGCGCGTTCAAACGCACAAGGACGTACCAGTACTTTGTGTCCTCCTTGGAGGTGTGCGTACGACCTGGACAGATTGCATAACCATTGGTATCAACATAAAACTAAGAGGTCCGCGCGGATTTCTCGGATCGACGCTGGGCCCCCCTCCCTGGCGCGGGGAGCGCGCCAGGGGCGGCGCCGGAGGCGTCGCCAGGGGGTCCAGCGCGGATCCGAGAAATCCGCCCGGACCTCTGAGTTTTCATGCTTATGTCATTCTTCGCTCCCCTAATATTGGGGTGACGCCGACAAACGGGGTTTTGTAGCGACGATGGTAGGAGGAGACCGCCGCATGGCCTGGGCCAGTCCTCCCCGACCCACCCCATGGCCTCGCGGACCGTGGCCGCGCCCCCAACGGATAGACGGGGCGCGTCTGTCCGCGCATGCCCTACTCGGAACGCATCTAAAGCACATATATATATATATATAGCAATCTTATGTGTATGTATACGTATACATACACACACGTGTCATATCCATACACACATGCGACCGCGCACCCACGGGATCGCATCGGAATCCTCTCCTGACGGGAAAAGGTATGGGCATGGGACGTCCGGCTCGGGGGGGTCGTCGACCTGAAATCGGCAATACGTCGCCGACAGATCGGCGACAAGCACCCCATGGCGAAAACCCACTGTCCTGGGCCATCGGGAACCCACTCCGTGATCAACTGGAGATTGGAGATTGGAGGTCGATGCGTCCACCCTCAGGCTACCCCCCCGAACGCTGCCCCTGATGACCGCGAGGGCGTGGATCGTGCCGACTTCAGCGGTGGTCTCTGACAACGCGGCGATCGTTCAACCTTGAACGATCGGCCGTTTCCGAAACGTCAGATCGTTCGACATCGACCGCTTCTGGCTCGCCGGCGGCGTTCAACGTTGAGCGATCGCGGCGGGGTCGCCGCTGGTCGACACGACGCGAACCTGCCGTATAGTCGGGGCTCCATGGATAGGACACACGAGAGGACACCAGAGCTTTCCGAGGGCTACATTACCACAGGAATGTAGCAGGCTTGGGTCGCGAAACAAAGGAAACAAGGTTACCCTTGATTTGGCAAGGTCGACCTACTAATCAACCTCGACTTGAACGGTTTCCCACAGGGCCGTAGGCGACCCGAGGAGGAGGAGGAGGAGGAGGAGGAGGAGGAGGAGGAGGAGGAGGAGGAGGAGGAGGAGGGAGGGACTTGAACGGAGGGGAGGCGGAGGAGGAGGAGGAGGAGGAGGAGGAGGAGGAGGAGGAGGAGGAGGAGGAGGAGGAGGAGGGAGGAGGGAGAGGAGGAGGAGGAGGAGGAGGAGGAGGACGAAGTAGGAGGAGGAGGAGGAGGAGGAGGAGGAGGAGGAGGAGGAGGAGGAGGAGGAGGAGGAGGAGGAGGAGGAGGAGGAGAGGAGGAGGAGGAGGAGGAGGAGGAGGAGGAGGAGGAGGAGGCGGAGGAGGAGGAGGAGGGAGGAGGAGGAGGGAGGAGGAGAGGAGGAGGAGGAGGAGGGAGGAGGGGGAGGAGGGAGGAGGAGGAGGAGGAGGAGGAGGAGGAGGCAGGAGGAGGAGGAGGAAGGAGGAAGGAGGAGGAGGAGGAGGAGGAGGAGGAGGAGGAAGAGGAGGAGGAGGAGAAGGAGGACGGGCCGCCTAATTAAGCTCTTCAGAGAAACCCTCCACCTCGACCGTATGCTCGCCGCTCGTGACTGCCCCGATCCCTCCCCCCCTGCGCCCGGCCCAATCCTCGGCGGCTGGCTCGGGCGCGCCGGCCTCTCCCTCGTCGTGGCTCGCCGTGGTGAGGTCGCTGAGCCACAGCACGTCCAGCTCCGACCTGGTCGGGGGCTGGGGGTTGTGCACAGTTGCGCCCGAAAAGACGCCCCCAAAGTGGATGGTTTGTAAAAAGGATTACACCAACAAAAACAATCAATGGATGGTTTGAAATGAAATCAATGAAGAGATCGACCGGGACCCTGGAAACCCGGAACCCACCGAAATCGGCCGGGAACCAATCACCAGGAACCCGGGAACCCGGAACCGGGAAACTGGGAACCCAGCCGGCCACCAAAATCGGTGGGACACTTTCGCCAAATCTTTCAATTTCCGCTAGGAATCATTCAGTGCAAGCACTGATTCGGGAAAAATGGCATCCCCTCGGGACACGATGCTTGTACACCAACCCCGCAAACAAGCTGGTCGGGCACAAGGCACGCGGGTGAGGGAGGTGGGAACAAATCGGCCTCCGAGGCCTGGTTGGTAGCTGCCGCGCACAAATCTTCACTTCGTGCTTGTCCATCTGGGCGCCTCTCCTTGATTTCGGCCCGATGCCCGTGGTCGGGCCCCGGGGCAGGCAGAAACGAATCCGGAAGGGGGGCAAAAACCCTCGAAGCGGTTGGGACCTCCAGGAACGCGTATTTAGAGAGTCAAATCGTCGGATGTATGGAAGGGTGTCCCTGGCCCAAGGTTTGGGCGCCCGAATTATCCTGGGTAACTCGGGCCCGAGGTAACTCGGGCTTGGATCCACGAAAAACGAACCCGAGTTAGCCCTGACCCGGGTTCTCCCTGATGATTTAGGGCTCTGGACGCCCGAATTATCCGGGGTAACTCGGGCCCGGGGTAATTCGGGTTCGGATTCCCGAGAAACGAACCCGAGTTAGCCCTGACCCGGGTTCTCCCTGATGATTTAGGGCTCTGGACGCCCGAATTATCCGGGGTAACTCGGGCCCGGGGTAATTCGGGTTCGGATTCCCGAGAAACGAACCCTAGTTAGCCCTGACCCGAGTTCTCCCAGATGATTTGGGGCTCTGGACGCCCGAATTATCCGGAGTAGCTCGGGCCCGGGGTAACTCGGGCTCGGATTCCCGAGACACGAACCCAAGTTGGCCCTGACCCGAATTACCCCTGATGATGTGGGGCTCTGATCCTCCTCCTCCTCCCACTCCTCCTCCTCCTCCTCCGACCCAGGGGTCAGTCAAGTGTTTCAAACAGAAATAAGACCCCCAAGGGCCTTGTCCCTATCCTGATCCTCCCCGTCCTCCTCCTCCTCTTCCTCCTGCTCCTCCTCCTCCTCCTCCCTCCTCCTCCTCCTCCTCCTCCTCCTTCTCCTCCTTTCTCCTCCTCTTCCTCCTCCCCAGCGAAAGCAACCTCAAAGGACTCAGAGGTGAATGTAAGGAGCGCTTCCAAAACAAGTTCTCCCAAGGTGCGTGGTCCCTCCTGGCAAGCGGCCGTCATCCCAAGAGCAATATGAAGGCCCGTCCCCGACTTTCCCTGCCCATCCCTGCGGCCCAGCTCCTCAAGGAAGGAGGGGCGACGTAGGGAAGAAAGCCAGCTTAAGAGGAGAGCGGATGTAACCCCCAGGTTTCGGTTAGGGTCGGGTCGGCCTAACCCTAGCCTCCCTCATTAGCATGTGATGGTCCTCCTCCTCCTCCTCCCCCTCCTCCTCCCTCCTCCTCGTCCTCCTCGTCGTCCTCCTCCTCCTCCTTCTCCTCCTCCTCCTCCTCCTCCTCCTCCTTCGAAAGCCAGTTTTCCGCGCCGCGCCGGAGCTCCCCTGGGGCCCCCCCCTGCAGGCACCGCGGCGGCACGAGCCCGACCGAGACCAAGGTGGCGACCAGAACTGGGGAGCAAAACCGGGAGAACTGGGGACCAAAACTGGGGATCAAAACTCGGGGAGCATAGCCTCAATGATGAAAGCTGGGAAAATCAAGGGATGCCGATTCCGCTGCTCCCCAGACCTCTCCATGGGTGCGTTCTGACGGGCAGATCGAGGACAATCTAGCCGCGGCGACGAGGGCCTCCCGGGAGGCTCAGCAGGGCGAACAACGGGAGAGCGGCAGAGGTAGCCGCAGCCGTTCCTCCAGCATCCCCGCCCAACAAGAAGCAGCCAACAGGAAACATGAACATCGGAACCACGTGACACCTAAGCACCACTTCTGGGAACACCCAGACCTTTCTGCGGCAACGCATGCGGACCGACGCCAGATCGACGGTACTCGACGTCAAGTCGGCGCTGTCTCATCGACGCCCAGACGACGCAAAGCAACGGCACTCTGACGACGGAGCTGCGAGGGTGCGCAAGGCTCTTGTGATTTGCCGCCGAGAGGCCTACGATATCTACACAGATCGCCTGCCCCAAGCCTGGCCCGTGACCGGGAGCGGTGTATAGACGCCCTCCTGGCCTGGCCAGGGAGGCAGATGCACCGCTCCTGGGCCCAGGATGGGCCAGGCCTGGGGCAGTGGAGGGAGGGAGGGAGGGAGGGAGGGAGGGAGGGAGGGAGGAGGGGAGGGAGGGAGGGAGGAGGGGGGGGAGGGGAGGGAGGAGGCCGGGGATGAGGAGGGAGGGAAGGGAGGGAGGGAGGGGGAGGGAGGGAGGGGAGGGAGGGAGGGGGGGAGGGAGGGGGGGGGAGGGAGGGGGGGGGTGCAAGCTAGGTGCGCTCGCGTCATATCTGACGTCCTACCCCTCCCTCCTATCCCTTACCATGGCGCTGATTTTCTCTATCCGCGGACGCGTGTCGTAGCGGACCTGTGGCTCCGCGCGCGCGTGCGTAGTGGGTGGTGGTGCGCGTGCGTGCGTGCGTGCGTGCGTGCGTGCGTGCGTGCGTGCGTGCGTGCGTGCGAGCGTGCGTGCGTGCGTGCGTGCGTGCGTGCGTGCGTGCGTGCGTGCGTGCGTGGTGGTGGTGGTGGTGGTGGTGCTGGTGGTGGTGGTTGTGGTGGTGGTGATGGTGGTGCGGCGCGGTGGTGGCGGGCGGATGGGCGCGCGAGAAAGAGGCCCGCGCTGGGGCGAGAACGCCATCCTGCACGACGGAGGCCAAACACCGATCCGAAAATGAGGCCCACGCTGCAGCGGGAGCACGATTCGGAACGAGTCGGGAGCAGAAATGAGGCCGGCGCCTCAGCGAGAGCAGCACTTTGGAAAAAACGCAAGCTAAAACCCAACTCCCGGGAATCCTGTGTAGTAAAAAAAGAGTACGCGGGGGGGGGGTCTAATACTTTCAGGCCGCCATCGGGGGAAGAGGGAGAGCAGTATTCACATTGAGTAATTGTGGAGGGAGGGGGAGCGGGGAGGGAGCCTGTTGACCCAGCACCAAGGCAGCTGCGGCGCCGTGAGCACCCTCTGGGCGTCGAACTCCTCGCGGAACGCCGCCCTGTCGGCCCTGCTCTGGCGCTTCACCGCCTGCCGGAAGAGGTAGGCGGCCGCGTCGCCCTCTGCCTGCCGGCATCAGCAGGGAAAGAAAACGCTGCACAGACATGCGGTCAGAAGTGATACCAAGGAGCTGCAGGAAAGACAGTCAAGATGCAAGCCCCTTGGACGCCCATGGCGAAGCATCTTCTAGGGGGATCGGCCGTCGAGAGTGGTTAAGGACGCACCGAGGAGGAAAGGATGCAGTGGTATCCTTGGGAAGGTTACCAATCCTTACCATCGGCTTCGACTGTACAAATAACAGTTCGTGGCTGTGTGTGCTGATGTTTCGATGTAGAGGCCTCCCAAATGGGGTCCGAGTAGATGAGGTCAGAGGCTCGCGCCGCATGGCCGATGCATCGACAATGCATCGGCGATGCATCGGCAACGTCGAAGTGGAGAAACTCCACCTCATCATCGAGCCGCATCGCCGATGCATCGGCGATGCGCGGCGATCCTCCGACCCCATCTACTAAGAAGTCCAGGTCAAGGGAGCCTCCCGTGCCAAATCGAATCAACGCCGACCGACGCCAGTGGTCGCTGATCGACGTCGGTCGGCGCCAAGGGAACGCCTCCTGGACTCCTGGACTGATGGACTCCTGAACTCATGGACTCATGGACTGCCAGACGCAAGCGCGCGTGAATGCGGTTTAAAAACTGAACCTCGAGGACACGCAAGGCCCCTCCTCCTCCTCCTCCTCCTCCTCCTCCTCCTCCTCCTCCTCCTCCTCCTGGTCCCCCTCCTCCTCCCCCTCCTCCTCCTCCTCCTCCTCCTCCTCCTCCTCCTCCTCTGAACCTTGAGGGCGCACGAAGCCCCCGTGGTTTGCTACCGAACCCCCTCGGGGACCGCCAGACCCAGAGCACCGTCGGGCGCACCCCGGCCAGGCCCAGACCCAACCTGTGCAGGCTCGGCGGCGAGCCCGGGGGGAGGGGGGGCGATGTCCTCCTCTGAAGGGGTCCTGGGACACACAAATAGATGTACAGAAATAACGGAGTTGCGGTATATTTACCTACGTTGTTCCTGGGAGTCGACGATTAATTGTGTCTGTGTGTGTCTTTCCCCCCTGATTCTCAGAAAGCTCGGAAGCTCCCTGGCCTCCTGAGAACTATTCTGAGCCTGCCCTGGAGGCACGGCAGCAGTCTTTCTCGCGGCAGGCTGGCGCGCTGCTGAGAAGCGCCGCCGCCTTCCGAGAGGGCCGGTTCCTTCTCGCCTCCCCCCGTCGCCCGCCTTGCCCTCCCTCGGGACGATCGTTCCCCGTGCATTTTTTTGTCGTTTTCGCGCGTGTTCTTTTTTGTTGCTGCTGCTCGGTGATCCGGCCGCCGCCGAAACATGTGCAGGCAGCTCCGGCCATGCCGTCCTGCTTGCCGGGCCTGGGCGCTCCTGCCTGCCTCCTGGAGCCCCTCGGCTCTCCTCCTCCCTCCTCCTCCTCCTCCTCCTCCTCCTCCTCCTCCTCCTCCTCACTCCTCCTCCTCCTCCTCCTCCTCACTCCTCCTCCTCCTCCTCCTCAATCCTCCTCCTCCTCCTCCTCGTCCTCCTCCTCGTCCTCCTCCTCCTCCTCCTCGTCTTCCTCATCTCTCCTCCTCCATTCCTTCTCCTTATAGATAACTCCTCTATGTCGCACCCCGAGGCCAGTCTTTAGGGCGGGCCGGGCTTTTCGCCTCAGACTTCCTCACCATTTATGACTCTGAAGCTTAAAAAGTGACAACAGTTTCACAGATAGAGGGAGGGTGGTTTTCAAAATGTGGCTCTCGCCTTAGCGCCACGCACATTCGCTTGAAATATTTGCAAGAGTTTCACGGATTGAGGGCGGGTGGTTTTCAATATGTCGCTCTCGCCTTAGCGCCGCGCACATTCTTTCTAAACAATTGCAAGAGTTTCACGGATAGAGGGCGGGTCGTTTTCAAAATGTTGCTCTCGCCTTGACACCACGCACATTCGTTCTTAAACATTTGCAAGAGTTTCACGGATTGGGAGCGGGTTGATTTCGGAATGTGGCTCGCGCCTCAGCGCCGCGCACATTTGTAAAAAAACAGTTGCAAGAGTTTCACTGGTTGAGGGCGATTCCTTTTCAACATGTGCCTCTCGCCTTAGCGCCGCGCACATTCGTTTTCGAAAGTTGCAAGGGCTTTACGGATTCCATGATCAACGTATCAGAAATGACGTCTTGGAAGGGTACAGGATTTCACGGGTGCAACAGTTACGTGGATTCGCGGTGTTGAAGTCCTGAAAATGGCGTTCTGGCACGATTCGGGATCGTCAAGACGCAGCAGTCAGGTTGATACGTGGCGTTGAAATCCCGAGAACAATGTTTAGGCATGATTCAGAATCTTCAAACGGTCATCTTCCAACGAGGCAGCTCCCTCAATGGTAATGAACAGTTGTGGGGGCCTATGAAGGGGGAGCTTGGAGGGAGGGTCAATTCCAACATCGTTGATGACTCTTGGTTTTACACTGGTCCTCCTCCTCCTCCTCTTCCTTCTCCTCTCTCCTCCTCCTCCCACTCCTCCTCCACCTCCTCCACCTCCTCCTCCTCCCTCCCCCCACGCCGCGGGTCCGCGTCGCGGTGACGTCTGCGTTGGTTGCTGCAGATCGCTGGGTTCACGGATGCCACGCCAGGGGACACTCCAACAGTCCTACCATTGATCGACAAGTGTATTGAATATGATACCAAGGCTTTAACATGGCCTGACCATGTTTAAGCACGCGTGCACATGTGTCAGACATGTTTCCTTACATGTGCGAAACATTTTTTAACACTGTTAAACGTGTGGAAAATATTTGGCAATATGCCTCCTCTCCATAGATCGTCTTCCGCAGCGCTAGGTCTCAAACAATCGCAACTTTCAAGTAGCGCGGGTTGTTCACCGTCGGCCGACTCTGGGCCGCTGGCAGGATCAGCCAGCATCGAACCAGGGAGACGCACCGTGTCAAAACGTGAATCGGACTTCTGCAGCGCAGGTCGTTCGCAGCAAGCCAATCCTGGGCCACTGGTGTGTTCCACACTGAACGCACGCACTGGGGCCGCCGCTGCGTCTTCGCGGCGCGAAGCAGCCGTTGGACCAGGCGCCTCGCGCGCGGTCGTGTGCAGGTGCAGGTGGACCTTCTGGCGCAAGCGATCCGACTGCGCGATGCGGGTGAAGTGCTTCCTCTGGGAAAACAACATCTGCGTGAACACGCACGTTCGAAGGTCCGCGCGGATTCCCGGGGTCGGCGCTCGGCCCCCCTCCGTGACGCACGGAGCGCGCCAGGGCCGGCACCAGAATGGCCTCCAGCGAGGTCCAGTGGATCCAGAAAGACCGTGCGGACTGCCGAACATGTACGTGTTGTGATCTGAGGGCGGTCCCTGGGCCCAGGATGGGCCTGGCCAGGGGCAGTGGCTGTGTGTAGTTCTCGTCGCCCGATGCCATGAGGAGGAGGAGGAGGAGGAGGAGGAGGAGGAGGAGGAGGAGGAGGAGGAGGAGGAGGAGGAGGAGGAGGAGGAGGAGGACGAGGAGGAGGAGGAGGAGGAGGAGGAGGGAGGAGGGACGAGGGAGGAGGGAGGAGGAGGGAGGAGGAGGGAGGAGGAGGAAAAAGGAGGAGGAGTGGCCGTCCTCCCGAACAGGAACTCGTCGACGCTGCGGGTCATCCAGAAGAAGTGGGCCTCCTTTAGGGGCAGCGCCCGCTCCTCCGCCTCCGAGCTGTCCTCGGCCAGAGCGGGGCTGTCGCACATGAGGGGGACCTTGTCCCAAAACTTCTAGATTTAGGTCGGGCATGTCCTCCCATAGGCGGATCTTGGCAAAAACATAAAAATAGTCAATAAATGCTCAAACATAGTCATCAACAACAATAACAGGCACATCGTGCCCAGGCTATCGATTACCATCTCCGAATCTTCCTGCTGTAGAAGGACGCACCCAAAGTCTTTCTAGATATGGGGCGCAAAAGGACCTACTACAGCTATGCGCCCCCATGGGAGGCGCACGTCCGAACAGAACATACGGTACACAAGCATGTTGCCTGATCATATCGCTACCCCGTTGGTATGGCCAGAGAAAACGCCCGCCACACAGCACGTGCTATGAGATTTTTTAGTGCGTGCGTCACCCCTGGGGGGGGGGTGACGACCACATAGTAGAAGTGTGCCTGTGTGATGCCCGTGATACTAAAACAAATACCAAGCCCCAACTGTTACTATATTGCGGGCCGTCGCGCTCGGATCTCGAAACCGTCGAACACGGACGGGCCCGGGGACGAAGAACCAAGACCCAGGGACGAATTCGGACTCGATCGTCAGGGGAGGCCTCCCGGCAGGTCTTGCGGCGAGCCTCTGGGGCGCTGGCCCAGGGAGGAAAGGGCGAACGAACGAAGATGAACGCGCAGGCGGGAGGCCAGGGCCAGCGGGACGAGGCAAGCAGGCAGGCGGGCAGGGGCGGAGACGGGACAGCAAGCAGGGAGGGGAGGAAGAAAAGGACGAGCAAAAGGAGGAGGAGGGGCAGCAAAAGGGCCGGGCCAAGGGCTGGGAGGGAAGGGCCGCCCGCGACGAAACTATGAACCTACGGCGGCGACAGGAAGCGGTCGTGATGGGCGTTTGGAACCGTTGTGGGCGTGGGGAAGGGCGTCGGGATCGTTGCGGGCATCGGGGATGGCGTCGGGGTCGTTGTGGGCGTCGGGAAGGACGTCGTGGTCGTCGGGATCGTTGTGGGCGTCGGGAAGGGCGTCGGGAATGGCGTCAGGAAGGGCGCGGGGTGCCGGCCGAACCCAGCGCGCTGCGGCTTGCAGAGGGGAGGGAACCTATGCGGTATCACCCACCGCGCCGCCGAGAAAGGGACGGCCGGCAGTGTGGGGGGGGGGCGCCAGCACGCCGCCCGCGGAGGGGCGCGGGGGGGGCGCCCGCGCTGCCCAGCCAGGGCGAGGGCCGGGGGCGCTAGGCTGCGCCAGCGTGGCGGCTCACACGGCGTCAGCCGTGGAAGCAGCTGTGGCAACGGCCAAGCGGGCCGCAGCCACCCCCGCCTTTCCAGACTGGATCTGGAGGTGCCCCAACGCCGCCCGCGCGTTCTCCTGCACAGGGAAATGGTGAGTCGCTGGGCGTGTCGGACTGCTGCAAGTGCGGCGTTTTCTGAAGGGGCCCCAGGACACGCAAATAAATACACACAAATAACAAACTTCCTCCTATTTTCCAGCATGTTCTAGGTTTCTGTCTCCCCCCCCACTTCCCATATTTTTGTGTCCGTGTGTTGTTTCCCCTCCTGATTTCCCCCCGTGGCGTCAGCCACCCGCTTGTCCAGGACCCCGAAGGCCCCGCGCGCCTCGCGGCCCCACCCGCCGCCGTGGGCCTCCACCACCACGGGGGGGAAGGCGAAGCCCTGCTCCGCGCATAGCCGCGCGGTGTCCAAGTGCAGCCTTTTGAACTCTTCGCACGTGTCCGTCGGCGCGCTCGATGAGGCGGCCGACGCGGCGAGGAGATCGGCGCGCAACCCGGGCGTCGCGGCAAAGTCCCAGGCGGCCGCCGCGCCGTTGCGCCATCGGAGCAGGTAGACGTTGGCGGGACGGCGGCCGTTGTCGCCCACCTGGTGCCCGCCTTGCTCGCCCCCGGGGGTGGTCTCCCCGTTGGGGCGCGGGGACAGCAGCCCCGGGCGCCCCAACTCCGCCCCGGCGTGGCCTGCTGCCAGGGCGTCGAAGAAGGCCTGGTTACGCAGGGTGGCGTTTGGTCCGGTCGCCGCGGCAGGCGCAGACCAGGACGTGGTCGCAGAAAACGTCCACCACCTCGCCACAGGCTGGGCAGAAGCACTCCTCCTGCAGGAGCTGGACTCGCAGCCGCCTCTGCCGGCCCACCTGCATGAGGCCGCGCGGGAAGGCGGTGCCGGTGGCCTCGCAGGGCGGCGCCTGGAACCACGCGGCCGCGCCCAGGGCTTGCACCAGAGAGGTGTGCCTTGCCGGCCACGGTGGAGCCCGCCAGAAGCCCGTCGCGCGAGGCGATGTCCACCGCGTCGAAAAAGGCCTTCTGGTTGCCGTGCTGCGCGTGGTCGAACACCACCTGGTCGGCGTCCCGCGCGACTGCGTTGAGGGCCTGCACCGCAGCCGCCAGGCTACCTCCGTCGCGGTCGGGTGTGTTGGAGTAGCCGGGGTAGAGCTGCCGACAGAGGTCGGTGCTCTTCGCTCTGGAAGCTATGTAGGCAGCTGGCGCGCCGAGCAGCTCGAAGCTGCGATCGGTGCGGAGGCGGAAGCCCGCCGGGAAGCCGTCCAGAGACACGTCGGAGGCGTTTCCGCCGGTGGGGACCACTTCACATTTGCCCGGGCCGGTGCTCAGCTGGAGGCCCACCGCGGCAAGGTTCGGGCGGGCCGAGGCCCCGAGACTCGACCATGTCCAGTCGTCGGAGGCTGGGGTGGGGTTGCACGGTTTCCACCGGGGCCGTAGGCAACCCGAGGAGGAGGAGGAGGAGGAGGAGGAGGAGGAGGAGGAGGAGGAGGGCGAGGAGGAGGAGGTGGAGGTGGAGGGGGAGGAGGAGATGGAGGAGTAGGAAGAGGAGACGGAGGAGGAGGAGGAGGAGGGGGAGGAGGATATGGATTTTGTTGACCTCCACGGGCCCAGCGCACAGCGCAAGCAACTGGCAGCGCGGGACCTGCCAGCCCTGACTGCGACTCAGGCAGGCTGGTTAGTCTGAGTCGCCTGAATTGTCGGCTCCAGCGCTCGCGTCCAGGAGGAGGGCCCGTGTGTCTCCATCCTCCTGCGACTCGAGGGCACGCCGCCCGTGCACCAACGCATCTCTAGGAAATGGGGCGGGCTTTATCTCTCGAGCTGCGACGCTGGGCGGACCGAAGAGGGAGAGGGCAGCCTCCTCCTCTTCCTCAAAGCCGCGAGAAGCCGCGAAAAGGAGCCTCCCGCCCCTCTCGCAGCTGCCGTCTCTCGCCGGGCCGAGTCCCCGAAGTCGCACGCACATCCGCCCCTTTAACCTCGAGGGGCCTGACTGCAGTGGGCGCCAGGTGGGACGGGGGCGGAGGGGGATGGCCTGCGGCGGCAGGTGCTGAAGCAGCACCAGAAGCGGTGGCAGACGGAGCGGAGGGAGAGGCGCACTCCAGAACGTGTTCATCGCCACGGACGGAGGGTTCGGAACCATCCTCAAGCACACAAGTGTCAACACAGGCAATACAATTGTCTAAATCGACTGTAACATTCAGCTTATGCTCAGAATAGTGCGGATGAATGCCCTCCACGAGCGCTCGCCACCCATATCTGGCAGCGCGGAAAGGTGGCTGGCACCGCTCTCCTAGGCCTCGGACCAGGGCGCCTGAAGGGTGGCACTTGCAGCGCAGGCAGATAAACAAAACTGACCCACCTGAGCAATTGAGCGCCACCGTACGGTGGCCCAGCTCCTGCTGCCTCGCAGCATGGAGCTTGGGGAAACTAACACAGGAGCCTGGCGGGGGGCAGGTCTCAGCTTTCCTCTGCCCCTGCCGACAAACAGCAAACCTCCAAATGCCATTCCATCTCTCCCACCTGTGAAGCACGGGGGGTGGCACAGCGAAGAGGAAAAGCGCACATTTGGGTACATGGCGCATCGACGGATAACTTGGGCCAGAGCGGAAGCAAATTGGCCGCGATCATATAATCTGCTCTGGCGGCATCGACCAGCTTCGCGACTACCTCCATATCGCCAGGGGCAGACGGGCGAAGCTGAAGGCCGTGCGTAGCTCCAGTGTCTGCGTCCGGGTTACACTTGCGAACAAACAGATCACGAGCTGAGGGGCCTTCCTCCTCGAGGCTGGGGTGGGCTTTAACGTTCACGATGCCGTCTACAGCCTGGCCCTCATTAGCACTGGCTTGCAAAAACATTCCAGAACGAGCCGAAAATGCCGCAGCGTGCGGAGTCTGAGGGAAGTGGGCCCACACAGGGACACTGACCTCTCCAAGAGAATTCGTTGACATGGCCCATGCCGCGCGTGATAATTCACGAACGGGGTGGCGCTGGCAAGAACCATCGATGAAAAGGTGCCCGCCACATCTTTCCATTCGCAGGGGCCCTGGGGGCCTCTGGGCTCATGAGCTCAATGCGATGCCAGGTGTACACCAGGGAGTTGGTCCCTTCAAGGGCTGGCCTGGGCAGCCAGTCGGCGGGGTGAGCAAAAAGTTCCTCTTGCATACAAGCATCTATCTTCTCTGGAGACCTCAGTGATCAGAGCAGCAAGAGCAGCAGCAGCAGCAGCAGCAACAACAAAGGCGGGGATAAGCTGGGCCATTGACTCGGCAACTTCGTCATCGGGGCATTCCCACGACCTGTGGGCGATGGAGTCGGTAGCCTGGCACTTCGGGCACAGAAGGTCGACTGCATATCAAGCGCTTAAAGCGCGACCAGCTGTCCAAATGGCCTAACTAGACAGGCATGGATCCAACAACGCTGGGCAGGGGTGAGTTGTTTGGAACTGCGAGCAGCTTTGGGGATGTCCAGACAGAGACGTTTCCCGACATCCCATATACCATTCAATTCCCGTTCTAAACTCCTCTTGTAGGCATCCCGACACAACGTTTTTAAGAGCTCGGGGGAGGTTACGCCAGAACTATCCTGGCGAAAGACCCAACCATAAGCAAGTGTTCGTAATGCGTTGTGGGTGCCGCTTTCGATGGGGGCTGCCTATGGGGCCACGAAGCGCTCGCTGCCTTGGGTGGGGGAACCGCGTGCGAACTGCGCCATTGGGGCGGGCCTTCGGTGGAGCTCCCTATAGGGCCACGAAGCGCTGCACTGGGCGGGGGAACCGCATGCGAACTGCGCCACGGGGGTCTTCGGTGGAGCTCGCTATGGGGCCACGAAGCGCTGCCCTGGGTGGGGGAACCGCATGCGAACTGCGCCACGGGGGCCTTCGGTGGAGCTCCCTATGGGGCCACGGAGCGTTGCCCAGGGCGGGGGAACCGCATGCGAGAGCAGCCACTGGGGCCTCCGGCGGAGCTCCGTATAGGGCCACGAAACGCCGCCCCGGGTGGGGGAACCGCATGCGAGAGCAGCAACTGGGGCCTTCGGTGGAGCTCACTATAGGGCCACGAAGCGCTGCCCTGGGTGGGGGAAACGCATGCGAGAGCAACCGCTGGGGCCTTCGGTGGAGCCCATCTGGGCCTTCGGTGGAGCTCCCTATGGGGCCACGAGACGCTGTCCTGGCCCGCATGCGAACACCCCCACTGCGGCCTTCGGTAGGGCTCCCTCTGGGGCCACAAAGCGTTGCCCTGGGTGGGGGAACCGCATGCAAACTGCGCCACTGGGGCCTTCGGTGGAGCTCTCCATGGGGCCACGAAGCGCTGCCCTGGGTGGGGGAACCGCATGCAAGAGCAGCCACTGGTGCCTTCCCTATAGGGCCACGAAGCGCTGCCCTGGGTGGGGGAACCGCATGCGACCACCCCCACTGGGGCCTTCGGTGGAGCTCCCTATGGGCCACGAAACGCTGCCCTGGGTGGGGAAACCGCATGCGAACACCCCCACTGGGGCCTTCGGTGGAGCTCCCTATAGCGCCACGAAACGGTGCCCTGGGTGGGGGAACCGCATGCGACCCCCCCCCCACTGGGGCCTTCGGCGGAGCTCCCTATGGGGCCACGAAGTGCTGCCCTGGGTGGGGGAAACGCGTGCGAACACCGCCACTGGGGCCTTCGGTGGAGCTCCCTATGGGCCACGAAGCGCTGCCCTGGGTGGGGGAACCGCATGCGAACACCCCCACTGGGGCCTTCGGCGGAGCTCCCCATGGGGCCACGGAGCGCTGCCCTGGGCGGGGGAACCGCATGCGACCCCCCCCACGGGGGCCATCGGCGGAGCTCCCTCTGGGGCCACAAAGCGTTGCCCTGGGTGGGGGAACCGCATGCGACCCCTCCTTAATTGGGGCTTTCGGTGGAGCTCCCTGTGGGGCTACGAAACGCTGTGCTGGGTGTGGCGGACGCATGCGGGCACCCCCAATGGGGCCTTCGGTGGAGCTCCCTATGGGGCCACGAAACGCTGTGCTGGGTGTGGCGGACGCATGCGGGCACCCCCACTGGGGCCTTCGGTGGAGCTCCCTGTGGGGCCACGAAGCGCTGCCCTGGGTGGGGGAACCGCATGCGAGAGCAGCCACTGGGGCCTTCGGTGGACCTCCCTATTGGGCCACGGAACGCTGTACTGGGTGTGGGGGACGCATGCGGGCACCCCCACTGGGGCCTTCGGTGGAGCTCCCTGTGGGGCCACGAAACGTGTGACTGGTGCGGCGAAGTGGGTGATGATGATGATGACGAGGGCGGTAACGGTGACGATGTCGATGGTGATGACGATGATGATACGGCTAGCCCCTTGCATAATGATGATGGTGATGGTGATGGTGATGGTGATGATGATGCTGATAATGATGATGCTGACGATGATGATGCTGATGAGAGGAGGAGGGAGGGGGCAACGGGAGGAGGAGGAGGAGTGAACGCGGGGCGCTGTCTCTTCAAAACGAGGACCCAACACCAGAGGATGGTTGGGGGTGGGTAACCCCCCCAGAAAAGTGGTAGCCCCTGTCGTCAGCAATCGCCATGAAGTTGGTAATCCTCCAACCCATGCGACCCTCTCGAGGCCAAGCACACTGTGCCAAGCAGAGCGGAGATCTTCAAACGAAAGAGACTCGTCGAAAACTCTCGTGTGCGTGATCCATATCTCTTTACTCCATCTTAAGATCGGTGCGCAGGCAGCTCTCCAGCAAGGGTCGTCAGAGAGAATGCTGACAGCAGTGAGAGATCTGCTCTTGGCCAAGGGTCTAACCGTAGAGAAAGCTTGACCTCATCAGCAGAAGCTGCTGATCGAGGAGGAGGAGGAGGAGGAGGAGGAGGAGGAGGAGGAGGAGGAGGAGGAGGAGGTGGAGGTGGAGGAGGAGGAGGAGGAGGAGGAGGAGGAGGAGGGACGAGGAGGAGGAGGAGCTGGAGGAGGGGGAGGGGGAGGAAGAGATGGAGGAGGAGGACGGGTCGCCCAAGCCCTTCGGAGAAACCCTCCAGTTGGGGTGAGTGAGCATGGAATCAGGAAACTAGAACGGATCGGATTGTGCGTCGGCGGGCTGCTTCGGAACGGAGTCGGAATCGCGTGAGACTGGCCGCGCCAAGATGCACAACAGGACCATGCGAACATCTGGCCGCATCGGATCGTCGGAAGGTCGGAATCGAATCGGGTCGAGCTGGCACGAGTCGACCTCGAGCCCGGCCAACCCAAAAGTGCCCCTCGGACAAGGTCGGAGCCCTGGGGCCCTGCTGGACTCGTCGGAGGTGCTCCGGAGGCCATCTGGGGCTCCCTGGTAGAGCTGCGGTCGACTTTGGCCAGGCCCGCCCCCTGGCAACACCTGCAGCACAGTGGGCAAGGCGAGGAGGAGGACGAGGAGTAGAAAGAAAAGCATGAGCCCCGAGGCCTTCCTCCGGGGCCATTTGAAGGGGCCCTGGGACACACAAATAAACAGACACAACTAACCAGATTCCCAATATTTTCAAATATTTTCTGGGTTTCTGTCTTCCCCCCCACTACCCATATTTTCCCATATTTCCGGGGGAATCGACGATTAATTGTGTCTGTGTTTTTTCCGCTCCTGACCATTTCACCATCCCGAACCGCTTGTTGGCGGCTCAGGGGCCCATGAGTGGCCACGGAGAGGCCGAGAGCAGCGAACTCACCTCCGGGCCCGCCTAATTACCCGTGTGCTCCGCGGCAGGGAAGACAGAAGAACGACGAGCAGCATCTAGGTCGGGCATGTCCTCCTGCGGGGCCGTCGACCCCGAGGTGGCTCTCGCTCGAGCGGGGACGCCCGTCCGGCAGCACACACACACACACACACACACACACACACACACACGGCCCCTTCGGCATTCCACCCCGTTCCATCGAAGGTTTGGCCGAAGTATGGGTGTCAGCTAGCATCAGTGTTCCTATTATTCGCGATCGCGCCAGCGACCAGGCCCGCTCCCCCCCCCCCTGGCCACGTCACGTCCTGGGGATCAAGCATCCCTGAGCACTTTCCAGACGGCGCTGGCGCGAATCGTGGCGTAACCGGCCCCCTCCCCGCCCCCCTTCAAATGGTCACGCCCATCAAAGCTAGAGGATACAACTGTCTCTTGGCAGCTCACGAGAGGACCCCTCGATCACCTGAGGGTAGCCGAAGTACGGGTGCTAGTTTAGAGTAACTGACAAAAAAGCACATTGTTTCTTGGAGGTCCTCGCAAATTTTCTGGTTTGGCGCTGGACCCCCCTCGCTGGCGCACGGAGCGCGCCTGGGGCGGCGCTGGAGGCGCCAACAGGGGGAGCCTGTACAAATCCAAGAAAAGCCGCGCGGACCTCCGCGAGACTATGTTTTTGCCGATTCTTGTTCTTCGACAATCAACTTACTCATCGATCAGGGAGATGGGGGAGGACATCAGCGAGAGGAGGAGGCCGTGATGCCGACCCCACAGGATGGTCGGGAACGGAAATGAGAGGGAGCGGGAGGCGGTCTGGGAGGAGACGCGGGGTGCTGCAGCTCCGAAACGAGGACCCGACGCCGCAGGATGGCTGGAAAAAACGGCACGGCGCTCGGTCAACTTTCAGGGAGACGTAAGGCTCGGGTACGGGGGACTCGGGTTGGCCTGACGGTGCCATCATAAAAATGACAAGACCCAATCTGAAATCTGACGCGAGCTCCCGCTGCAGACATCCCACGAAAACTGGACCGTCAAAATTCATGACGCGCTCGTCGAAAAAAATCGGCAAACACAAGTTCCGGCTTACTCGAGTCTTACGATGGGTCTGATTTCCACCACCACCACCAATGTTGGAGGGGGAGGGGGTCCTCCTACTCCTCCTCCTCCTCCTCCTCCTCTCCCTCCCCCTCCTCCTCCTCCTCCTCCTCCTCCTTCTCCTCCTCCTCCTCCTCCTCCTCCTGCTCTTCGTCCTCCTCCTCCTCCTCCTCTTCGTCCTTTACCTCCTTCCCCCTCCAACTCGTGGTGGTGGAAAACAGGCCTCGCATCTTACGCTTCGCCGAAGCTCGGGAAAAGGACTCCTCGATCGGGCCGCCGGCAGCTTTGAAATCTGCACCGGGTGGAGGGGCCCCGCGGCGGGCCCTGCAGACAAGCTCGAGACCGTTCGACCCCTCCCAGGGGGGGCCAACCACTGCATAGAGCGTGCGACGAGCGGCACAAAGTTAACTCCTTCGCTGCAAGGGGCGCCTGCCCCAGGGCGGCTGGAGAGCTCATACCCCTGCGGCGGCACGTCAAAAGGTAAACTTCCCGGCCGCCCTGGGGCAGCGCCCCCGGCGACGAAGCGGTGTACTGTATACCGTTCTTCGCCCGCTGAACTTAGAGAGCATCTATGCTTCGCGATAGCGGCCGTTGCCGGCCCCGGCCGCCCCCCTCCCACCATCCCCGGCAACTCCACGACTCGTGCTGATCTCCGAATTGGCTTCGGTTGTTCCTCAACCTTTCCCGAGGGCACCGGCGCGGAGCGTGACGTTGCCGGCCCCCCGCCCCCCTCCCCCCTCCCCGGTGGCGCCCGCTATCGCCCGGAAAGCTCTCTGAGAAAATCGGCTCATGAGAGGGCTCCTCGATCAGGGAGATGAGGGAGGACATCAGCGAGAGGAAGGGCGTGATGCCGACGCCGGCGCCAACCGCGACGAGGATCGGGCGGGACAGCGCGCTCTGCGCCGGGGCCGCGTAGGGCCCGTCGAGCCGGACGCGCGGCAGCGGCGCGGAGCCGTCCTGGAGCGCGCGGGGCCGATCGGCATCGGGTCGGCAGATCCAAGGGGCCCATGGGCACACAAAGGAATTGCACCAGTGAAAACGCCCCAATCATGAGATGGTTTGAGATGGGATCGATAAAAGATCGTTATAAGGAGATCGACAGGGAGCCCGGGAACCTGGGGACCCGGAACCCACCGAAATCGGCCCGGAACCAATAACCACGAACCCGGGAACCCGGAACCACGAACCCGGGAACCCAGCCGGCCACCAAAATCGGCGGGAAACTTTCGCTAAATCTTTCAATATTCGCTAGGACCCCTTCAGTGCAAGCACTGATTGGGGAACAGGCGCAGCTTGCAAGATTTCATGTTCCTTCCAGGTGTCCTGAATTGTTGCTTTTCCCCTCCAGCCACCACTTTTCTTCAAACTTTCATGATAATCAGCGTTGATCAGTGTTTGTACCGAATCTTTCTCCTGCAGATCGGATTCGGAGGTGGCCGGGGATTCTGAGCTGTATGGACCCCGGGAAAAACTGTCGGGTGGGGGGATAGGGGCAAATCCGCTCAAAAACGGTCCCTCTGCGAAGGTCCAAGCTTTTTACCCTGGATCCGATTTTCCTGGAAAATCCATATTGGCGCAAGCTTCACCCCGGATCTGCTTTTGACGGCCCCGGGTCCGAAAACGGCTCCTGGATACAGAAAAAAACAAAAAAGCCCTCCTCGAACCCAGAGCATCATC